TGAACAAAATACCAGCATTTTAATAAGAGATGTAGTCCATAGCGGATTTTTCTCTAGAATTGGAGCGCCTATCTGGGGAAGTAACCTTCACTTTATAGATCAGAATATCATACGCTTGTTTGCTACCCTTAAGACGACCTCCATGAGTGGTTTGTATGCCGGGTTTCAAGGTGTCACCTACTCGAGAGGTCCCGGGTTTGAATCCTGGTGGGAGTAGATGTTTGTGTGATGAATACGAGTATATGTACTCCAGTCATGTATGTTTCATATACATTTCTACATAAATATGTATCAGTATATATATTCTATTCTTTACCCTAGTATCCCATATCACAAGCCTACGGTGCTTACTTTTAGGCTAGGCTAATTGGTGTGAATGTTGGAAATCATCATCATCGACCCATGCTCGTCCACTGCTGGACATAGGTCTCCCCTAATGCACGCCACTGCTCCCGATTCTCTGCCACTCTCATCCAGCCCACTCCAGCCAGTCTACGAATGTCATCATCCCATCTTATCTCAGGGCGTCCCACACTACGTTTACCGAGTCGCGGTCTCCACTCAAGAACTTTCCGGCTCCATCGACCGTCAGTTCTGCGGCTAATGTGACCAGCCCACTGCCACTTCAGTTTGCTAATTCGGTGGGCAATGTCGGTGACTCTGGTTCTCTGTCGGATTACATCATTTCTGAATTTCTGATGCGGTCCTTCAGGGATACTCCGAGCAAAGCCCTTTCCATAGCTCAATGTGAATGTGAATGCTGGAAATAGTTTTTCTTAACTTACATGAATACTAGCTGTGACCGCGACTTCGGACGTCAGAAAATAAAAACATGTCGCACGTAGGTGCCATGAATTTTCTGATGAAGTGAAAAGCTCTTCTTATATTTCTTTAAGGTAATACTTACTTTTTTGAAGTTATACTTCTTTAGGCGCGTTATGAAAAAATGATGAGAGTGAAATTTTAAGATGCGCGCGCATCACTGTAACACAAAATTTTATTTACTTTTGTGTTTACCGCACATTAAGAAAATCTACCAACAAAATAGAAATAGAATCTCTATTTAGTGGGTGCTAACGACTGCATTGTGAAGGCCTATCAAAAGTATTTATTAATCTGGAACAACGGAACCAAAGCGCGATTCAGGAGACTACAGCGCCGTCTCTTGACCATTGGTGTAGTAGAACCAAAAACCACATCTTTATTTTTTGTAATAAAGTAACAGTTATAGGTATTCATATTTATAATATTTATCCACATGTTTCTAGTTTGTATATTCGGAATACGTGTTTGAGTTTCATACAAGTGAAAATCACATTATGTTCTAATAAATTATATTCAGTAGCGATTTTAATTGAATATTTTGATTATTTATTTATTTTTTCAAATTAAAACTGAACTTTATTGACTGTGTCCTTTTCCAGACTTTTTATTAATTTATTGTAATTAATTATTTGCATGCAATTAAAAACTAATTTTAAACGATGCCAAAGAAGGATAACTTCTCACGCGCCTACATAAGTACACGCACCCATTTTTATAAATAATATTTTCTTCTTATTCTTTGGCGATTTATATTATTATGTATACCGTTAAAACATTGTGTGCGATATCTTATTTAGTGCTTTCGTGTAGTACTGTGTCGTGTGTATTACAATGTACTTACTCTGTGGGAATGGCATTCGGGAAAGTTTCAATAATAAAACTCCAGTAAGAGATAGGCAGGCCTATTAAAATAGATCAGTTCAGCAGTAACAATCATGTTCCGAATTGTGTGTTCCAATGAATAGTCTATTGGTATTTCTCTGTTTATTAATTGCATTTCTACGATAGTTATAAAATCATCATTCTGTGAATAATCATTTGTAATAAAATAAAACCAGTGTCTAAAATAAAAACTGCATTTATCCAATGAAGACTTTTATTATAAAAACTAACAGTTGAAACTCAACAAAAAATTAAAAATTTAGCTTTTTCCCAAATATCGTCCAGCGGTAAAATGTACATAAAGGCAAAGAGGATTCCTAAAACACGGTGAAATAAACCTTTATTTCGCCGTGTTTTAGGAATCGTCTTTATTTCGCCGTGTTTTAGGAATCGTCTAGAAAAAGCTAAATTTTGAATTTTTTGTTTTGCAGCATTTGGAATGAATACAAAGGCGATCAAAGTACATGTTAAGTGTTCAAGTGCGATTTTTAAAAGACTTGTAATAGTGAATTACAGTGTTTAGTGAGCGTATTGTGATTAACATTGTGTGTTAACTATGTGAACTGTGTGGTGAATAAAGTACTGTTAAGCGTGAACTGGCATATAATTTCGAAACCCATCCCGACACGTAACAATATAAAAGTACAAAGTGAACAAAAAAAATGGGTGCGTGTACTTCCTTATCCTTCTTTGGCATCGTTTAAAATTAGTTTTTAATTGCATGCAAATAATTAATTACAATAAATTAATAAAAAGTCTGGAAAAGGACACAGTCAATAAAGTTCAGTTTTAATTTGAAAAAATAAATAAATAATCAAAATATTCAATTAAAATCGCTACTGAATATAATTTATTAGAACATATGTGATTTGCACTTGTATGAAACTCAAACACGTATTCCGAATATACAAACTAGAAACATGTGGATAAATATTATAAATATGAATACCTATAACTGTTACTTTATTACAAAAAATAAAGATGTGGTTTTTGGTTCTACTACACCAATGGTCAAGAGATGGCGCTGTAGTCTCCTGAATCGCGCTTTGGTTCCGTTGTTCCAGATTAATAAATACTTTTGATAGGCCTTCGCAATGCAGTCGTTAGCACCCACTAAATAGGGATTCTATTTCTATTTTGTTGGTAGATTTCTTAATGTGCGGTAAACACAAAAGTAACAGCATGAAGTTGGTCGCTAATTTAAATTTTTTGTGTTACAGTGATGCGCGCGCATCTTAAAATTTCACTCTCATCATTTTTTCATAACGCGCCTAAAGAAGTATAACTTCAATAAAGCAAATGGAAAGTATATAAGCAATATCGAAATGTTGTGGTTTAAAATTCTTTGTTATAAGAATAATTACCTTCTTATCACAATGAATTTAGAACCACAACGACGAACGAATGAATAAGCTACAGTTCATCATCATTATCAGCCTATTAATGTCCTCACTGCTGGGGCACAGGCCTTCCCTATGGATGGATTAGGGAGATTGGGCCATGACCCACCACGCGGGCCCAGTGCGGGTTGGTGGGTGCTAAAGACTGCAGATGCAGCCGAGACCAACGGCTTAACGTGCCTTCCGAAGCACGGAGGAGCTCGAGATCGTAAATTTTTGGTCACCCATCCAATGACCGATTACTGCGAAAGTTGCTCAACTTCAACGACTGCAGCCGAACGCGCTTACCACTGGCGCCATCGAGCTCCTCGTTAGCTAGTTCACCACAACATTATTTTCTTAGTGGTATAGTTTTAGACCCACCGCGTACTACCAGGTGAATGACCAGTGGTATGGTGTGTCCGCAATGTATTAGATCTTGGTGCTTATAATTTTTTTAAAAATTTACATCGTTTTTTTTACAAAACACACCAATTAACTTTGTTGTAGGGTAATGGATAGAATTCATGTATATATACATATCTTTATCTTTATATATATAATTCTTCTGTGAGTGTGTATGTCACTGAACTTCTCTTAAACGACTGGACCGATTTTGATGAAATTTTTTGTGTGTGTTCAAGGGGATCTGAGAATGGTTTAGATTCACAATTTTGTCCGCTGGACTACCCCTATTTTTTTAGGGCGGTACGAAGTTCGCTGGGTCAGCTAGTGTATATATATATATATAAGAATATTTTTATATAAATACACATTAAATATCCATCGCTGACTGGAGTACAAATGCTCGTATTCATCACACAAACATCTGCCTCCACCGGGATTCGAACCCGAGACCTCTCGAGTCAACGACACCATGAAACCCGGCGTATAAACCACTCGGCCACGGAGGTCGTCTATTTGAATTGCAATAACATTTATTATATTTGTTTCTTAGGTTTTCACGCACATCACTCATTAAATAAAACTAGTTTTAAGAAGATTCTGACGAAGCAGACCTGCAAAGGCTGCGAAACGTCAATAAATAGATAAGGTTTCGTGCATTGACCCGTTAAAACTAGTTTTATTTCCTCATCATCATTAGCCTATTAATGTCCCTACTGCTGGGGCACAGGCCTTCCCTATGGATGGAATAGGGAGATTGGGCCATGGCCCACCACGCGGGCGGATTGGTGGGTGCTAACGACTGCAGATGCAGCCGGGACCAACGGCTTAACGTGCCTTTCGAAGTACAGAGGAGCTCGAGATAGTATTTTTTTAGTCACCCATCCAATAACCGACCACTGCGAAAGTTGCTTAAGTTCAAGAGTTTTATTTAATAACATTTATTGCTAAGAAACGGAGACAGATTATCCTTAACATTTACTGGATGGAGGTCGATCCGCAAGTGATTCCTAATTTATTGACCAAAAAACGTCACCCGTCTATGTAGAACGAGATCAAATGATATTGTTTAAAATTGATGACACACGTTCACACAAGTCGTATTCAGTTTCGTAACTCACATCAGCTACCCCAAACATCACGATTTTTTTTGTGTTAGTTAATGTATACAGCTGTTCTTCTAAGTTTTTTATTCTTACATCAATTATCTTTATTTCTTCGCTTACAGTATTTTGTTCCATTTTTAGTGTGTTTATTTTATAGTCGACGTCATGCTGGAGGCTTTTAATAGCAGTGTTGATTTCTTGTTGTATTGTGTTTCTAATATCTACTAGTAGGCTGGTTTTAATACTCTCTAGTTTGTTGTCTAATAAGTTACTAATCATTTCTACCGTTAATCTTGTTGTAGAATCGTTGTATTGGCTGTTTTGTGTATCATCACATACATCATTAATAGAATAACAATTTAACAATTTCTTTACAGAACAGAGGACTTCACACTCTAAAACAATGTACACAAGCATCGTTTTGGTGTGCATAGCGCTGGCGTGCGCCTACGCATGGATGTTGATGAAAAGCAGACGGGCGCGGTCGCTTCTGCGGCATCTACCCACGTTCTCAAAATTACCATTTTTCGGAAATCTTCACAACTTGCACGGCGGTGGAGAAAGTAAGAAATTAAGAATGACGATTTATTAATAAGTAGCTGGACTGTTAATTACCACCTTTGTTTGTTTCCTTTTGAAATTTTTAGTAAATAAGACGGCAAACAGTTCAATGACATTGGAATTTAATGAAAGCAAGGTTTCATGACCCCGCCATGGGCTGGGTCCATCTGTGTCCTCCCCCCGCCTCTGCTCATACCATTAAATCGATCTTTATACTATAACCGAGCTCATGCAAAAGTAATCATGCTTAAATTCATTTATCGATCTATGTAAAACCATCGTAAACACACTGAAAGAATATAACAATAGCTAATAACTCACACTATAAACTCCATTCCTAAAACTACACTCCATCTAAATTTACATATCTCTAACCCAAAATTATCAAATGACCAGATGATTACAAAAAAAAACAATACAATACTAACTTACCCCAATGTAAATTATTACATAATAAAATGTAACTTATAAAAGTCTCCTATGTTTTTCGTATCAAATAGTGAAAAACAAACAACAAATGCTAAAATGCTAAACCATCTAAATAATCTGATTCAAATAAATGTTCTTTTGTAACTCTGCGGAGAATAACCACCGGAACCCAAAAAAAAAATATCTACGGTCCATTGTCTGTGGGCGAGAGGACTGTTTCGTGGTTAGAACCACCGTCCTCTAATAGATGGCTCTGCCGGTTCCCTATAAATTTTATTTTATATATCTGGTGTATCATCAGAAAGTATTCGATTATGGGATCCAGTATATGATCCAGTACTTTGGTGGAAAAGGACATGGTTTATCAACGCCCTCAACATCCCCACTAGATCCGCCCTTGATGTAATCAATTTTTTTACTATTGTTTGTTAACAATATTTTCGTCTTGATACTGTGGAGGTGTTTCCTAACCGAATCTTTTGAATAAGTGTCTAATATATTTATAAAATAAAGTGACATATTTAGATTTTAATGCTTTGGCTCAATTTTTTTCCGTATCCCTTGCGGGATTGGCAGAGCATCAAAGGTGAAAATGAGAGTAAAGAATGTTTGAAAGTCACACATAAACAATGGCATATTTGGCGCGGTTAGGTTTTAGATGTTGTTTGGAAACTAAAGTGCTATCACTAGTTGCCAACCCCTTGCATTGCTTACCAACAGTTTCCATAATGTTATTTATCAAGCAGTTTTTATCAATTTATTTCCTGTTCTTGTTGCCCGGGAATATGTACGGGCAAACCCGTACAATTCTATATGTTTAAGTATTTTGCTAACGTCAGCGCTGCGCGTGACTCATTATGCCTTTTATTAAGTGAATTAAGCAGTAGCAATAAATAACTCGTACAAACAACATCGTTGTATCATTTGACATAACATCATTTTCGGGGCAGTTTTTCGGAACCTATCATAACAGTATCAAGCAACTAAAGTTGTCCCAGACACATGTATGCGTTACAAAATTAGCAGCTATCTGAAAATGGAAATATATTTATTGGAACTAATTAAAGTTGTATGTATAATTAACAGCTACATGAGGAGCTCGATGGCGCAAGTGGTTAGCGCGTTCGGCTGCGATCGTTGGAGTTAAGCAACTTTCGCAGTGGTCGGTCATTGGATGGGTGACCAAAAATTTACTATCTCTAGCTCCTCCGTGTTTCAGAAGGCACGTTAAGCCGTTGGTCCCGGCTCCATTTGCAGTCGTCAGCACCCACCAATCCGCACTGGGCCCGCGTGGTGGGTCATGTCCCAATCTCCCTATTCCATTCATCGGGAAGGCCTTTGCGGCTGTGCCCCAGCAGTGGGGACATTAATAGGCTGATGATGATGATGAATAGCTATATTATTAGCTATTAGCGCCCACCTCAGAGAGAGATACAGAGACATGTCGCACGTCACAAACAATAGGGTATTAAGTCGGCAAAACCATTTATTTTTTTATTTGCGTTTCGAAAACTACATTTTTTTCTCTATAAACTGGTAAGAGAATTGTATTTTAATTCGAAATAGTTTTTGAATTATAGCAACACATGTCGTCAATTTCTAGGCAAAATTTATGATTGTGAGTATTCTAAACAGTATCAAGTTAAGTTAATACTCTATTGCCCGTTCGCATTAATACAAATTTGAAGTTTTATTTAAAATGATACTCTCTGGCCCGTTCAATTTTATTTAATATGTTATTTACAGCGAAATTATTTTAAAATGATACTAGTTTTAATTTTAACATGAGCCAGTTGGACTGCTTATAGGGTATTCTCTTTACCCAGTCACATAAAAGTACTTTTAAAATAAAAACTACTATTGATACACTAAGTAAACTTACTCAACACAAAGCAGGATAATGTAAGTTTAAATCAAGGTATAATTTTAAACATTTGAACAAGTAGTTCCGCTTCTATAATTTTTTAAAACTTCAAAACGCGATATCTCAAATCTCTGTTTTTGAAGATAACACCCTTTTGTTTGTGATGTGCGATGTGTTCCATAATATATTTTTGTTTCGCAGCCCAGTATGTCCATCTTATGTTTTACTTATCATTCTAATTTCTTAACGTTATAAAAATTTCAGACTTATATCGAATAATTGTCGAAATGGGTCGCATATCTGATGAGAAGGACCAACCGTTTCTGCTGTGGATGGGGCACCATCCTGTAGTAGGTATGTATTAAACCTGGGAGCCTTGGAAAGAGTTTTGAAGAGCACCTTGCACTAACTCCTTTTCATATGCTTGTTCAATTTGTTTTGAAGATTGTTTCTTGCTATTTTGGGACTTTACTTTATAGGTACTTATTTTTAGTAAAATCGTTAATAGTCTATTGCTACCTATTTGACATTATGTGAACTTTCAATTTGTCGACACTGTATGAAATAAAACAGGGAGAAAAAAGCAGCCCTCGCTGAGTTTCTTGCCGGTTCTTCTGAGTACAAGGTCTCCCGCCAACCCGATGGCGTAGTTTTTGACTTTAACATGTGCTTGTAAACTGAATAAATTCCTTTTGAATTGAATTTATTATTTATATCGTCTTAAATAAACTGTTACCTTTGATATTTGATATGTGTCAATGCAAGACAAAACTATATCCACAGTTCATTTGAACCCTATACTGTTATTTAACAGTATAGGGTTTAAGTAATTCAACTTTAATTGGTTTAATGGAGAAAAAAAGACATAAATTAATTTATATTTATTTTTCTGTTAAATCGTTTGTCCTTATCTTTAAATATAAGCAGTTTTCAAAAATTTGGAAAATACCCTATTATGTTCTTATTTAAAGAGGTCAGATACATTTTAAATCTGATAGACACATAAGTTACTAAGAGTCCTGACTCGTGGTCACGCCAGGTTGCTACACCAGTGTGTTTCTTGTTTGTCACGCTGCTAATATTTCATAGTAGTGGTTGAGAGTAGGGATGTAACGCAGGTAAATTTATCGGAACCGAAGTCGGAGTCGGAGTTTTTAAAGGAGATTGCTCAGCTTCTATACATGTTTGGCCTAAAGACCAATAATCATGAAAAATTGTTTCCTAGATTCGAAATTATATATAAATTACTGTAGAAACGAATATTATTGACGGACACCCCTGAGAACTTCTATAAACCATATACACTAAACATATTATAATAATAAAAAACAAATAAGTTATATAGTAAACTAGGGAAATCAAGCCAAGTACCGAAATTATGGATTAGATTCAGGTATATAGAGCATGTATATTAACAGATAGTTGCTTGTTTTTAAAGTTAATGCATAAGAGTAACTTTTAAAATCAGGTGTCATTTCCGATTGTAATAAAGTACTCTGTGACAGAAACTGTGTGATGATTGTGAATGAGCCACAGATTAGAGAGAATTTTTAAATTCTCGTTAACCAAAGAAAGCTAACAGATTTCGGTTCTATAGCCATATATTCAGTAGCTTCATTATTTTTGTTATGTTTTTAAGATAACCATATTTTAGATTTTTAGTGTATCACACCTTATAATTTTATTTATTAATTAATTTATAGTCAGGGAACGTAGGCCCATAGAAAGATACCTTAAAGTCTAACATATATACAGATTATAATGTGTCTATGGAGGTGTTTGGCGAAAAATGTATGGCAATAGACTTTATGATGTCACCTACCATCTATAATAATTGTCTGAGCACATTTATGGATATTAATACCAAGGTATTATACAAAGGTGTCCGTTGAAATCTAATGACTGTAAATTAAATTATAAATTACGCTAAGAATTACCGTGTATGTCAATATTTTTTGTGCATTTGGGCCAATTTGAGCAATCTCCTTTAATTTATCGGAGTCGGAACCGGAGTCGGAGGCAGAGTCGGGGTCAGAGGCAGAGTCAGAAGTGGTCACAAAAGAGATATTTTTCATTTAAAAACAAATAAAATCATCATTTAGTGATTTTTTTTTCATTTAAATTTACTTTTTATTAACACAGACTCCCAATTCGTAACGGTCGACGCAGGCGGCCGTCGCCATTTGCTATGCTTCGACCGCCGAATAAAAGTTTCGGAGCCGAAATCGGAACCGAAGGTGTAATAATAATCGGAAGTTCCGACTTAACGGAATCGGAGTTGAGGTTCTGTAACATCCCTGGTTGAGAGGGATGGGATTGAGACGAGTAGAAGCAAAAATCCCATATAAAAATGGAAATTTATAAGAACTCTATATAAAAAACGAAGATATAAAGTTTATTGTCTTTTCACTCCCTGAACAAGTAAAAAAAGATCTATTTTTTCATGTATTAAAAAGTATTTTTTTCTTTAAATATTTTGCTCACATATATGTACCTTCACTGTTACAGTATGCATTCATCCCGATGATATCCGTGCAGTGTCGAACACGTTCATAGAAAAACATAATTTCTACAGCTTCGGTAGAATCTGGCTTGGAAATGGTCTTGTCACTGCTCCAAGTAAGCCTTACTTTATACGTCTTTTCATCATTATCATCTTCTTCAAGTATTTACGCCACTGGGTTTTCACCTTGAAAATATTAGAAAAAAGAGCATCGAAATACTTTCTGCCTTTCGGAACTAGAAAGTTAGAGATCCAAAAACATAGATGATTTTATTTTTCTATTTTTTCACTTAAAAGCTGCTTTCTTTTTATCTGCTACCGTTATCTACAACAAACAAATAACCGTGGTTATTTTACTTATATACGTTTTTCATATTTATTAAAATATAAATGACTAGCGGCCCGCCCTCGCTTCGCTTCGGTGTAGAGCTGAAGTGTAGACTACAGTTTTTGTTCTCAGGCTTGTATTATACACAATGACATTCATCTATGATTCTTCGTATACCTGCATGCAAAGTCTCAGCCCGATCGGTTTAAAATTGACAAAGTTTCATACAAACTTTCATTCCCTATTTTATCCCCTTGGGGGTAGAATTGATAAAAATCCTTTCTTAGCGGATGCCTACGTCATAACATCTACCTGCATTAAATAAAACTAGTTTTTACGGGTTAATGCACGAAACTTTTCAGGTCTGCATCGTCAGAATAATGATTTTTTATTTAAAATTGTCAAGCTACCTTCGTAAATCGAAACGTCAATAAATAAATAAAGTTTCGTGCATGAACCCGTAAAAACTAGTTTTATTTAATGAGTGATGTGCGTGAAAACCTAAGAAACAAATATCTACCTGCATGCCAAATTTCAGTCCGATCCGTCCAGTGGTGTGGGCTGTGCGTTGATAGATCACTATGTCAGTCAGTCACCTTTCAGTTTTATATATATACTAGCTGACCCAGCGAACTTCGTACCGCCCTAAAAAAATAGGGGTTGTCCAGCGGACAAAATTGTGAATCTAAACCATGCTTATTTCATCAAAATCGGTCCAGTCGTTTAAGAGAAGTTCAGTGACATACACACTCACAGAAGAATTATTTATATAAAGATAGATAATACAAATATTATAAACTCATATTTGGTCTCCTATTGAATACATAATAGGAGACCGAATCGGAATCGGAGTTTTTAATAGTATACGACTTTGGAATTTTCATTGATGCAGTTCTTCACATTTGATTACTCCCTTTATAACATGTTATTCAAATACAAATATATTATTTGTTTCTTAGGTTTTCACGCACATCACTCATTAAATAAAACTAGTTTTTACGGGTTAATGCACGAAACTTTATTTATTTATTGACGTATTTATTGAGTTTCGTTCATTAACCCGTAAAAACTAGTTTTATACAAATATATTGATTAAAATTTACATCATACAGTTAGCTTCTAACCATGGGTCCTGAGATTCGTCTGGTAATATGACCAAGCTAAAAAGATTTTCTCAAACTTTGTTACAATTCTCTGATGTTACTTCTAAACGACCTCTTACCTACATAAAACTACTTCACATTCCTAATTCAAAATTTTCATACTAAAGATCTTTTTGATCGTCGTTTTCATAATAATAATAACTTTATTTATTTTTCTCCAACAATCTACATGTTACATCTTATAATTTAAACAATATTTGTATATTTAATAAGATTGCGAGAGCCTGGTACCTGAACTAAGCGAACGCTTGTATCTCAGTGCACCAGTACCCTCCTCTTCGTAAAGTGACCATTTTATCCTAACAAAGTAGGTTTCTACAAATAAAAAATACCTGAAGGAGAATATATAATATACCACATATATCCAAATAATGACTTTTCATGGAACACAGAAGCCTATTTAATTTTAATATTTTGGTACCAGTGGATATTTGGAAACGTAACATAAAGAAGTTGGGCGGGACATTCACGGCCGGCACCGTGGGGCGGTTCCAGGGCGTGTTCAATGCGCGGGCGCAGCAGTTGACCGCCATCTTGCGCGGGAAGGTTGGCTCCCAGCTCTTCGATATCTACGATGATATATCATACGTCACACTTGAGGCTGTCTGCCGTGAGTTTTATTCAATAATTTTATTTTTAATATAACACCGTTCATTTGTTACTTACTTTATGATCTACTAGCTGTGCCCCGCGGTGTTACCCGCGATTTATTAGGGATATTTTCCCGCAGTAAAACGTAGCCTCTGTGTTAACCCAGGGTGTCAGCTTACTCCTTACTAAATTTTATTAAAATCGCTCCAGCCGTTTAGACGTGAAGAAGTAACAAACACTTTCACACACTCACAAACTTTCGCCTTTATAAATTAGTGTGATATTTAGCTAGTGCGGGTGTGAACTGCAATTGCAAGTGTCTTATCTGATGATGTTCAGCCGTATCCGTTCCGTACCATTAACTAAACGTGCTTTCAGGAAAATGGAGAAGCTAACGATAAAAGAAGAAAGTCAGAAATGTCGGACTCTCATAAAACAAAGTACTTCCGCTTTAGCGAATAACTAACTACATTTATTGTGTATACTAGCTGTACCCCGCGGTGTTACCCGCGATTTATTAGGGATATTTTCCCGCAGTAAAACGTAGCCTCTGTGTTAATCCAGGGTGTCAGCTAATTCTATACCAAATTTTATTAAAATCGCTCCAGCCGTTTAGACGTGAAGAAGTAAAAAAATTGTGTATGTCAGCTCCGACGCACGACTGGAGTTTACTCCTTAAGTTCGATAGTCTAACCAGACGCAAAAAGAGTTTATTTAACTTAAAAAAGATTGATACTGTATGAAAGGGTAAATTAACAAATTAATGAAAATAATATAAATATATATTTATTCATTTTATATACATTTGTTATAACTAATCGACGAAATATTTTACATTAAACTTTTTACAATAGTCAATTTCAGATGTGCATAAATATATCATTAGGAATGTTGATAAATTATGTAATTATTATTATCAGACTATTATCATTAATTAAATCAACATTGTCTGCATTATTAATTACAGTGACAAGTGGTTTATGGTAACTAAAATGTGTCGTCCATGTGTCTTACATGGACGTTCGTAGATACGTGGTTCACGAATCTTGAAAATACCGCATCAATGGTTGTACCATACCTCGTTGTCCCCATTGCTCTATCAGAAACAATATCTAAATTCAGTTCAGATTTTAAAAATTTTATTAATGTCAATCCGTCATCTTTGTTTGTCAAAGTTGCGTGACATAGGATGCGCACCAAAAACGTAACGAGGTCATTCATCGATAGATTTTACTCCTCACATTTTTCTCATACCGGGCCCCTTATATATGCAAATCGATTCTTAAGGAGTAAACTCCAACAAACATACCCACTGAAACACTCACAAACTTTCGCCTTTATAATATTAGTGTGATTGTTAGTGACATTGAAAGTTTAAAAACAATCCTATTTTATCAATTTGTGAATAAAACACCACTCTCATGTGTTATTATTATCTAACAGATAATATTAGATATATAGAGCACTTTCGCTATTCGTATTTGCTGGTTTTCATTATCACAACAGCCTGTCCTTATCTTGTTTTATAGGGAATGAAAAGGACAGACTGATGTCAAGTTTACGAATAGCAAACACAAATAGTAAGTGTCGCCGCACACGGGCCACCGACCACAACCAAAACACTCCGCCACCGCCATTTTTCTTGTAGTTTTCATACATTTTATATGGACTCGCCAAACGGTACGCCGGTGGCCGCCACACGCTACAAATCGTCGCTGCTCGCTTCTTGTGGCCCGCACCGGCCACTTAATGCGCCGATACAAAACGCCGCCATACGTCACTCGCGCGATTCCCCACCCCTCTCTCCTTTACCTTAGTCGGCCGCTGACGCGCGCTTCAGCCACTTTAGTAGCCGCTTCTTGTGGCGGCGTTTGTGGCTGTGGCGTGTGGCCCGTGTGCGGTGACACTTAGCGAAGTTCCTCCATTAGAGACGGCGTTCGGCATATCCGGTATAACGCAGAGCATCGTCAGCGAGGAGTACCATCAGGCCTTCCACCAGGCGGTCCAGTTGCTGGTGGACCGAGGATTGAACCCCTTACTGTACCCGGAGACGGTGTACAAGCTCTCGCCGGCACGGAGGCAGATGGAGAAGTGCGTCACCGTTCTGCATAACGTCTCCGAGACTGTGAGTATCATCATCATCAGCCTATTTATGTCCCCACTGCTGGGCACAGGTCTTCCCTATAAATGAATAAATATTTCCAACACTCACACCAATTAGTTTAGCCCCAAAGTAAGCACTGTAAACTTGTGTTATGGGATACTAGGGTAACGGAAAGAGTACATATACTGATACTTAAATAAGTATATTTATATAGAAACTAGCTGTTCCAGCGAACTTCGTCCCGCCATAATAAAATAGGGGTTGGTGGTAGAAGGGTGAAAATTTAGGTTTGTATGTATTTTTGTATGATGTATAATAAAAAAATAAAAAATCTAAAATTGAAAATACCCTTAACATTTAGGGGGATGAAATATAGATGCTGTCCGATTCTCAGACCTACCCAATATGCACACAAAATTTCATGAGAATCGGGAAAGCCGTTTCGGAGGAGTTTAACCACAAACACCGCGACACGAGAATTTTATATATTAGATACATATTAAACATCCATGACTGGAGTACAAATGCTCGTATTCATCACACAAACACCGACGCCTCTCGAGTAGGCGATACCTTGAAACCCGGCGTGTAAATCACTCGGCCACGGAGGTCGTCCAATGGAATGAATGGAATGGATGGAATGGTTTATGGATGGAATAAGGAGATTGGGCCATGCCCAGTGCGGATTGGTGGGTGCTAACGACTGCATCTGCAGTCGTTGGTCCTAGCTGTATCTACAGCTAGGACCAACGGCTTAACGTGCCTTCCAAAGAACGGAGGAGCTCGAAACAGTAAATTTTTGGTCACCCATCCAATGACCGACCACTGCAAAAGTTGCTTAACTTTAAAGATCGCAGCCGAACGCGCGAACCATCCAGCCATCGAGGTTCTCGACTGTGAGTATAGTTCGATTTAAACCTAATGACGGCTATGAAGTTAGCACAAGTCATACATCTTGCTGTACCTGGGGGCTATGTTCACTATACAGTCTCACGCCGACACGAAGGCAGATGGAGAAATGTGTTACCGTTCTGTTGGATTTCGTATTTTGCGGGTTTTTAATAATTTCATTATAGGGTAGTTTATGCACTTGCAATTGCCTTAATCCAATCTGTCTCCCATCCTTTTCATACATGTGCACTTTTAGCTATGGCCGTCCTGCTTTCGACGACACCGCGGAGTGCATAGGACATTATACTTTTTCCACCTCTCTCTTGTGAACGTTGTAATGGAAGACACACATGTTGTGATATAGTATCCAAAAATTACTGTGCGATCATACTATTAGTGAACATTTTACATTGTGCAATTTATATAAATACAAAATCTGTGCCGGCAAACGATTTATTTTCGATATAAGTGCTTGAAGGATGACTTGCGACCAAACGGATGGTGTGCTGAGGTAAGTGCGCATGTTCCTTTCCTTTGTCTCCAAGTCTTCAACCATTTTCTTCGTCCTTAAATAGATAAGGCATTTGCAAGGCGCAGTTTATTTTGTATTTTTAATAATATATGATTGTGTATTACCGCCCCCCAGATACAGTCCACTATTAACCTACGCCTAGGGTTAGCCTCTCCATATAAGTATTGAGCACGCAAAATTATTATTTTCCCGCAACCCAAGTTATGGGGGTTTAGGCGCCTCCATACTTTTTTGGTCACTTCGATCCGAATTTTCCCATTATTTATGGTCAGTTCTAACCAGATTTTCCCAAATTAATGTAATTTCGCTACAGTTTTAATCATTGCTTTCACGAATATAAGTGTTGTTGTTCAATTTGGCAAATATTTACATAGAAATCATAAATTCATTTTCGTTCAAATTCACAATCGCTAATAATTTACAATTTACTAAAATCCGCTAAGTATAACTTAATAGTGGTACTTGTGCTACGTAAATTAAATAAATTGTCGAATTTCTATTGTTATTATTCCGCATCGACAGTTTATTGTTTTTATTTCCGCACCGCATTACGTAGTCCAATGCATCATTGAGTTATACACATTCCATTTTTCGCATAATTTGTAATAATGTTCATTTTATTTTGTCATTGTTCGGTTAATATCGGCTCGCCCCGCTAACGATCGTACACTCGCGTCTCAACGTTCGCTACCCGCTAATAGTATTTTTTCTTACCCGCCAATCTCACCCGCTAATATTTTTACTATAATTTACTTTTAAAACCGTTAAGATTGCCTACTATATACATTCTGTTAAAGATCCAATAGCATTCACATAACATATTTACCTTTAATTTATTTACCGCACATATTTTTATTCTTTATTGCCTATCGTAATTTGCTAACTATTTATAACCATGGTTAAGTCGAAGAGGAGGGGCAGTGAAGGTTTTGCAGGGGATAGTTATGATACAAATAAAAATCAGCTGACTATTTATATAGTCAAACGCGATGTTATTTATAAACGCATAGAAAATATTTATGAGCTCGCACAAAAATCGGAAAAAGATCCGCAATATTATAAAGCATTTTGTGCTAGTGCATTAAATATAGACACTTTACGTTCAGATTATCAGGAAGTTTTAGATTCCTATAATATATTAAATTTACAGTTACACCCAGATTCCGAGGTTGACTATGATTCCTGGTTAACATTTGAAGTTATGTTTTGTTATATAAAACAAATTCTGCTCGATAACACAAATGAATTATCTAATTCAAAAAGTAATTTAAAATCTAAACCCCGCCTTCCGCCTATCGACTTAATGTCATTTAACGGAGATGTAAAAAATTGGCCTTTATTTTTCCAACAATTTAAAAATATGATTCATGATAACGCATCGCTCACTAATAGTGAAAAGGTATTTTATCTAGTTGGCAAATTAACGGGACAGGCGTCTAGCGTCTGCGCAGGGTTGGCTCCCACCGCAGAAAATTATATTGTTATTTGGGAGGCACTCGTGCAAAAGTATGACGATCCTCGCTCACTCGCATGTGCATACCTTAATCAGTTGTTACATTTTAAACCGCTATCAAATACTAGTTCAACCGGGCTCGATTTATTTATAAATAATTTTGATTCTTCTGTAGAAGCGCTTAAGCAACTGAAGCTTAACGACTTAACTGATTTTATTTTCTTGCATTTAGCTCTGCAAAAGTTAGACGCAGACACAATTAAATTGTTTGAAATTACGTATCGCAAAGATAAAATACCTACTTATCATAATTTAATTGAATTTATTAAAGAACAGAGTAAAATCGCAAAGACAGACGTCACAGCCTTAAAGGCTACAGTCACTGAATTGCTAGAGAAGAATGCTTATAATGAACAATGGGTTCGACGATCTAACCTCCAAATAAATGGCATTTCTCAAAATAAAGGAGAAAACCTAATTGAAATAATAAAATCTATCGCTAAAGTATCTGGCTTCCCTTTGGACATAAACACCGACGTCGACTTTGTCACTCGCGTGGCCATTATGAATAACGAAGAAGGTAAAAAAGCAAAGCCCATTGTTTTGAAGATGCAGTCCCGGTATAAAAAAGATGATTTCTTAGCATTAATTAGAAAAGTAAAAGAAATAAAACTAAGTGATTTGGGATTTCCTGGTGAAAATGGAAGAGTTTATGTCAATGACCACCTTTCTAGTCGCAACAAATATCTACTACAACAGGCTAAGATCATTGCAAAAGAAAAACAGTACAAATATTGTTGGGTACGTAACTGTACAATTATGGTTCGGCGATCGGATTCATCTCCTGTGTTGCACATTACATCGGAAGAGGCTTTAAAAAAAATTACATAAGTGATATAATTTTTTATATGTCGGTTAATTTGTTTTGGTTAAAATTTAGTTCATCGTTCAAAATTAGTTTTATGTTCTTGAAAATATTTAATTTATATCTTGTATTGTGTCGTTGCATATATAGGGTGTACGTATTATATTTCGCTGTGTTTTTGGTTTAGTTGGTGTGACATAGGGTATGTCTCCTGTACTGTTGGTTTATTTTACGTGATAATTTATGTGTTTTTTAAAAAATATTCTTGTCAGTTGTCGCGAGATGCAGGTGAAGGTAAATCCTCTTTAACCTACCGCCTTATATTTATTTATCCATCGATCTACAATTTTTACTCAAAAATACATTTTGACTTTGCTTATTTTGTGACAGAATCTGAAATATTTCTTTATAACGCGTATCATGGACAGTTTGTACATTTGAAAGGTGTAGTGAAATTTCGGTTTAATTTGTTATTTAACCTTAAAAACTATTATTTATTTAAGCCGTTATCGTGTTAACAATATTTTATCAAAACGTTCGTGGTTTACGGACAAAAACCAAGGAGTTTTTAGCTAATATTTTAAATTCAAATTATGATATAATATGCCTTTCGGAGACGTGGCTTTTGCCAGGTATTTACGACTGTGAGTTGTTTGATTCCCGTTATAATGTTTATAGGACGGATCGTGACTACCAAAAATTAGGTATGCGCATGGGAGGTGGAACACTAATTGCAGTACGTAGTCAAATACGTGTTGATGTGCGACCTGAGATGCCAGGCCCTAGGTGTGAATTGGCTCGCTCAGATATCACATACGTTAACTTAATCATCTCTGATGGAAATAACATAACAAAAGTCTGTTTGTTCTGTTGTTATTTTCCTCACAGTCTGTACCAGGCTTCGTCACAAATGCAATTTTTTGATGATATTGCCGAGTTAAGCATTGAATTTTCATCTCATACTTTTGTAGTTTTGGGTGATTTTAATATAACAGAAGCCCAATGGTGCTCAAATATAACTAACAACACAAAGGTTCGTGAAAGTTATATGATAAATCCAACAATTAATGTTTTAACATCACAGGTGTCCAACTTCTTGAATTATACTGGTTGGCATCAGTACAACCATATATTAAACCATAATAACAGATGCTTAGATTTAGTTTTTTCTAATTCCTTGTGTATTGTAACCCGCGCTGCCCCATTGGCTTTGCCGGAAGATTTGCATCATCCGTCATTGGATATCAGCTTAAATTTAAATCATAAACAAAATGACTTGT